CCAACTTCCTCTTCGTTGGGATGAAATGTTATCTGAAATGTTGAAAGACCCCCTTTAAGTTAGGCACTATATATACACAGAGAGACGTGATACTATACAGAGGGCAGACATGGGCTTAGGTAACAACATTATTCTCCAGTTTTACAGAAGAGGTTGCCTAAGTTCAAGGGATGAAATAACTCAGCCCATACCTCATGGAAGGTTGTGACAGGGCTTAAACTAGCCACAGATCCAAAGTACCAGCCCAGACTGTTTCCCCAAGAACATCTCTCATCTACTGTTGGTTGAATCTTGTTTTTTGAAAACAGAAAGTTGAAAATTCAGACAACTCCTCTGAATGCAAAGTATAACAGAAGGGATTCTGACTAGACTTCTAAGGGTTCTCTATGAGAAGCACTTATCCTTTGCCATAGTGTTTTTCTCACGTCTTTTAACATTGTTCTTCAAGGTGATATGGAAGCAAAAAGGAAAAGTCACTGTGACACACCACTTTTCATATATGAATCCCTTGTTCTGATATATTTGGGGATGAAGTCCAGCATACAGTCAATAATTTTAACATTATCTAGTAGTCAGCAGAAATTTACCATTTTTCCAGTTCTGCTGCTGTGCTTGTATGACTCTGTTGCTGAAGTAATAATTTTGTGTTAACCTAACCTCTGTGGCAGCCTAAAGCATGGCAGAAGCTGACCTTCTATGGCAGAAACTCAGCTCAGCTGAGAAATTTCTATTCTTTGTGCTCAACTCTGAACCAACAGAGATAGCAGGACCAAAACTCTACCTATTCTCTGTCTTGCTCCAACATGCTGACACCAGGGAAGCATGAACAGCCACCTCTTTTTCACCAGTGCCACCACAGGGCAGAAACTGAGAGGAAAAGTGAGTTTCTCTCTCCTACCTTACTGCCAACCAGCAAACACCTAGGCTCATGGGGAGATCTGGTCATGAACCTGTGAAGGGCTGGGACTCATCAGGTCATGAATAGTAGACGAGACCATGCACTTCCATTGAGCAGGCTCTCTTCGGCCATACATTAATCATTATTGTGTCCTCTTGAGGCTTCTCAAACTGCAGCAGCAAATTTTTTTTTTAGCCCTGTCAGCTTTTAACACTACTGCTCTGGAAGGGGCACAGTCACTGCCAGTCTTCTCCCTCTTGGTAGCTATCTGGGCCATCTGTGAGGCGACGCTCACCTGTGGCACACCAAACCTTGAGAAGAATGACAGCAAATACCTTTGTAAAGCTATCATCTCCAGTTAGGTGGCCTCCAGGATCATATCCTTGTACTCCTTATTTCCTCATTACACCCCAGCATTACTAAGGCATCTCCACTTCACAGTTAAAATTTTAACCCCTTTCCTTGGAAAAGGACACAAGGGTTATGTTTACCTATGAAAGGAGGGGGGCACAGCTACAATTTCTCTGAGGCTGATCTGAAAAGCAAAACCAGCCCAGCTGACTTAACGTGCCAGTATTCAGTTGAAACAAGAGAAAAGCTAAGTCACTTACTTCTTGCGTTGCTGAATCCCTGCAACAACGAGGAAAACAATTCCAGCCACAATGACAGAAAGAACAACACCAAATACGATAAGCCAGACAGGCGTGGAGGGTTCAACAGGAGGCGATAAGGTTGAGGCTATCTTTAGGAACTGCAGTGTTTTGTCACTCAATAGGAAGGCACTGTTGATTCTGTTCCGGTTCATCCTTCATAAGAACACAAAGAACATCACAACCCTTTAAAAAAGGTATTTTATCAGTTTAAAAATAGAAAAAAAAAAAAAAAGAATTTTCATGTGTGTGCTGCAATTCTGGCAGGGCTGAATCTGATGCAGCATGATGTTGGTAGGACCTTCACTTTAACACAGAACTTGTCAATAATCCACAGACACCCACACACTTGCAGGGTTTTGAACACCAGACTTTCCCATGTATTTATCCGAAAAATTGAGAAATACAGGCGAGACCTGAAGTACACTATTGTTATTTATTCCTGTTTTGGACCATGTGCTGAAGATACAGCAGGTTGTAATCTGTTGTCTTGCTCATGCAGCATTCAAGGTTAGCATGGGAGTGGCAGATCTACCCTGCAAGGCTCAGAGGATTTACTAATTCATGCCCCCTGGTTCCTCAAACTGAACCATCCTGCATGTTATGAGATGGTACCTCTGCTCATGTTGCTGTAGATTTTCTTAGATCTGTGATGTAATAAAACAGGATACAATTTGGTCCAGAAGGATCCACCCCTACTGCCAACAAGCATTCTTCTCAGCAGGATGCAGCTTAAGGGATTTGCACTTTGCACATTTTTTTCCATTATGAGAAACTAAGTCTGAGAAATACGCTTTTTCATATGAATAGTACAACTGCTACCCTTTAATGGATTCCTTCACCCACATTCACTGCTTCTAAGCATTTGCAGGTATTTCTGGATCTGAATCTAAGCAGCCTTAAGAGGCTTTAGCAGCATCTTTTGTTAGCTTTTTCAAAACATTAAAAATTTTTGAGAAAATGTATGACATTGTTGGTCTTGAGAGATTCTTTTTGATTGCAGTTGTATGATTTGCAGCGCTCTATCTTGTATACCAATCAATTTATTTATCATAATGCAAGTATTTCCTAAGAACAGATATATGGGAAATAAAGGTAAGATTTTGTAAATTTCTTTTCTTGGAAATCGTAATGTTTGAATGTCCCTTAAACAGGATGTTCTTGGCATTAAGGGAAAGCTAGCATTCCTGGAGAGGACTGAAAGCCATGGTATATTAAAAGAGTTATTATACAGTAAGCTGTCTGATTTAGAAAAGATTTTCATCCTTATTGATATGAAAGGATCATTGTGAACAGCTGAAATAAACATTGTTCACCCTCATCTGAGGGCTGGAATTACAGAATTATGTGCTGAAACACATGAGCACAACTACAGGTGCATTTCCTGTTTGTATATGCAAAATATACCTTGTGTATATTTATGCAAGATCTTGGGTCTCATACAGAGCTCTGAGAAGATTTACCTTTCTCTTTATTCTGACTTTGTAGAGAATCTCATACAATAAAATTCTGGTCCATGGGTAGTGTTCTGATGTGCTACTGCAGTTAGAATAATGGTTTGGTATGGAAGCCTGCAATCAGAAGCAACTGAACAAAAAGTACTGTAGTTTTATAGACCGTTCTATTTCTAAGTTTCTAAATGAGGTAGGAATTAAAACTTTTCATAAATAGCATATTCTTTATCAGGTGACAGACAACAGTTAAAAACCAAACATACTATAATAGCGTCCAATTTCTGTGGCAAACAGGGCACATAAAAGGCTTAAATAAATCAGCTTATGCTACCAAAAGTATCAAAGAATAACAGAAATGCAAAAACCCTGCATTCCAGCACTCTTACAGAGAGCTTCAGTGAATAAATAATCTGCTTCCTCCACTAATGCTATGAAGCTATTGTTTGGAGTCTCTGTAGGAAATAGTTTAATCTGCTCATAAGCTTAAAAGTTAATCTTTCCTAAAGAACGCATACTCATTCATCAGGAATTAGGCATTACACCTCCACAGAGATAACATGCATTTTCAAGACAAAGTACAGAATGCCTAAAAACAAAGAGGTCTGTTTTCCACTCCGTACATGAGCTATGCTGCTTGTGGGAGTCATCCCTGCAAACCCCTTACATAGGTTTGGCAGTCTACAGAAGTCAGATTATCCACTTTTAATTTTTCTCTCTTCAGCTCCACACTCTTGCTTTTATTGGCTATAGAATGCAATATTTAGTAGAAAGCAAACCGATCTGTACCCCACAGTACTTTGTACAAGCAGCGCTCAGCTGTGATATTGACTGGCAGTCTAGAAAGAGCTGGTATGAAAAGAATGTGAGTATAAGAGTGTTCAGGCCAAGCTGGGACACAGCCAGCTCAGCTTGTGTGAAGAGTTAACACAAGCTCTTCCCATGTGAAAGCTGGCTTCTAAATTAAGTCAGATAAACCATACTTGTCCAGGACAGAAAGGCAGCCTGTGGTCATTAGTCCAGGTCAGTAGTGGATGTGCACATGGCATGCAATTAAAGTTAAATTATATAAATCCCACCCAGGAAGTGTGCAATTCCATCATCTGAGAGAGAAGGCTCTCTTGCTGGGAAAGGTAGCAGCTGGATGAGAGCAGTGTATGTGCCATGCACCGGATCTCAAATTATGGGTAGGGCTCTGGAAAGGGGCTAGATTTCTTCCGAGGGTCCAGCATTAAGACTCCTTCCAAAGTTATAACCCAAAGCTCACATGCTTTACATTCCGTGAGACTGTTAAAAATCCTTCTAATCTCACATGCATGAAAGACCACTGACCCCTTGGTGTTTTAACTGCTTGGATTGATTCATCCTTAAAGAGGCAAAGTGTTTGTTCATGTGAGGCCCAGAGGGAGAAAGCATCCTCGGTCAGCAGGGAAGGAAAGGTTGCAGAAGCAGTGACTGTACCTGATGGCTGCCTCTACCTCACTTCCAGGAACAGTTGTCACATCTTTGGAAGAATCTGTGACCACAAACCAAAATGATACCCGATCCGTCACGTTGCAGAGCAGCACATTGGAAATTCTGCAGATAGTTAAAATAAAAATCACTGAAGAAGCATGGAAGGAATTATTGAAATATTTCAGATATTCTTAAAATATTGCTTTTATCTAAAAGGGGAAAAATTCTTACTTTTAAAAAAGTTAACAGCTAACGATTAGGGAAGAAATATCACTCACAGCATTTCCCATCTCTCAGTATGATGAAAAAAAAAAAAAGCTTATTGAGACCAAACCTGAGCCTTCAAACAAACTTCTGCATCTATTACAAATTTGCATGGTCTCGAACATACATTTAGCATAATACAATGTAAAAATACATATTTTTGCATCTTAATCATCAAGGCTATGGCAAAGACCACATAATGGGGGAAATCAATTGGTGAACTATGAATTTTGGTTTTGACAGCTAATACCACAGGAATCAGGTATGAGGTATTCCCCACATGATTTTCAAGTGATTCAGTCCCACAAGATACATTTATTGAGGGGAAGAGCAATGAAATTGATGTTCATAGAATCACGGAATGGTTTGGGTTGGAAGGGACTTTAAAGATGATCTAAACGTATGAAGATGAAGCCAAACATATGTAATATACAGGAAATGTGTAAGGTGGTATTTATTACAGCATGACAAGGAACATAGTACATACAAAAGAACAGCCAAAGCCTTTATGAATTCAATTGCAGATAGCTAGAGAGAGAAAAATGAGCGGGGGTGAGCAGGGGGGTGTGGGGGCCGGGGTGAAGGTATTTAGTTCTATATCACTAGTAAATAACCCAAAGAATTTGACTCAGGATTATGATTTACTGGCCATGCCCAAGCAGTGAGCAGATATTCTGACAGTCCAGGACCAAGAATTAGGATTGTTTTTCTTTCCAGAGAGCAGCGTGGACGTGGTTCACCTTTGCACGAGGCCTACCCTGTCCTGACAGGCGTCGCTTGCAGTGACCAGTCTTCAGATACTACCTGCTGGTCCGGGGAAGGGAACCCTGCAGTGAGCCAGGGAAGAAGAACGCAGCTCCTCTTTCAGTTAATTACAGTGATGGCTGTAACACTTGTTACCAACTAAATAATTGGTTTTAAAGCTTGGCCTGTTCATCACCCAAAGGCAAGTTGTCACATTGCCTCGGCAGTCTCTGGGAACAAGTCCCGGCGCAGAGTGCTGCTGTGCAGGGCCACCTGCTGGCTAATTACGAACTTCATTAATTGACCTCCGCAGTGGCCTGAGGAGCAGGAGGCATGAAGTAGAAAGGAACAACGTATGGGAGCCAAAATTGCCAATGAATGTCTAGTCTCCCTCCAGAAAAGAACGAGTTCACTTTTAAGTCAGAGCAGGGACTGGCTTAATCACGGTTATTCATTATAGGTATCCTGCAGAAATATTTATTGCTGAAAGATTTTTTGGGTGGTGTTTTGGGTGCTTTGGGGTAGCACAACCTTTCATTTCACAGAGAGGATATGTATTCCATAGAGACAAGCAATAAAACAGAAAGCAATGATTTTGCAGAGTTGAAATACCCATGTATACCTCTCTGGGACAATGTCAATTTTGCAAATACAGACAAATTTTACAGATAAAAGAGGAAAACCATCCTCTGGAATTTGAAAACATTCACATCAGTTTGCTGGCAACAGCCATAAGATGAAAGCAGATTTATTCCTCCCAAAACAAAAGCAAAGCAGAAAACTGACAGGAGGGGTTTGAAAAGAGCCTACTTTAGGTTGGTGGCTGACAAATTCTTGCTGACTTCACAGAGTATCTAAAATTGCATCTGCAGAGGATGTATTCCAGCAGGAAAATTTATAACAGTAGGACCTAAATCTTCATGCTACTGCAGTTCTTTATGTTGAGATTTACTTGGCACAATCAAAAACTGGTCCAGGTAGAAAATCTGGGTTTGTGTTGCCCTACAGATGTTCTCAAAATGGAGTGAGTGCGGAAAGTTTGACCCCCAAAGAGAAAGATAAATTTGGTAGATGAAGACTGGCAGAACACCCTGACTTCCTCATTCTCATTCAGAGACTCAGAGAGACTCTTCAACTTGGGGTCTTCCCCAAAGTGTCAAGGGCTTTCAGCTTGAGATAAGTCATCATTTTGGGCAGCTTTTCTCTTTCTCTAGAGCAAACAGTATTTAATCAGTTGGGCAGCGAGGCTCACACTGGGATGTGCAGATTTTGCCTCCTTTCTGCTCCCTGTTGTTGTCTAAAACCCTTGCTCGATTATAAGCGTCCAAAACCTGGCTTCACTGCCACTTTTTCATCAGTGGAATCTGAATGCTGTAAATCCTTCCAGGCTCCAAAGACAATAATACTGCTTACGAGAAGTTCAAAAGGGATTGAGTAAACACCGAAACAGACTGGTTCAACAAGCTCCGGCGTAATTTCTTTGCAGCAGATACACCTTTTTTTTTCCTGTGCTATCTGTATGTAGGTTTGATTCACAGCATGCAGAAGCATTAAAAAAAACTATAACTTTACACTGGTTAGATTTCAGAAATCCCAGTTCTTCATGCACTATGCTATTTAATTATACTTGTAAACAAATATATGGACATCTTTTTATTTCCTTAGAAAGTGACAGACTTTTGCCATGATGATTAGAATTCTGTTATTGTCAGAATAACAAGAATTGGTCCTGGCCTTATGGCACCATGGCAAAAGTCCAAAATTGCATTTTCTTTAATATACATAAGACCAGTGACTAGAGGGCAGGAAAAACTGATGGTTCCTGGGTCTGAAATATTGTTTCTTATGGAGATTTAAAAGATTTTTTAGGGGTAAGGAAGAGCTGCCAGAGACTCAAAGCCAGCTGTGCGACTACAGTGGGAGAACCACAGCCCCAAATCCCAAGCGCCTATTTCCAGCTCTCCCAAAAGCATCAGGACTCTTCCAACCCAGTGCTGCACAGCTGCTCCTACAAAGGAACATTATTTTCTTCCTTTTTGTGAGCTGCAGCCATGGGATCACATTGATGTAATAGCTTTAACTCTATAAGCTTATTTTAATGTTCTAAATGGTCACAATATTTTTAGTATCAAAATATCCTGTTTTAGGAAAATGGTGAGTGTTGGTGATTTTTTTTTTTTGTTTGTTTCCTGGTCGCTTCATGAGGAAAACTGCAGCTTTTTTAATCTGCAAACAGGGGGAAGATGTACCAAAAGTAGATTCTGTTACTTGAAAGAAAGTAGATGTGATCACATTCTTTCTGCTCTAAAGATTAACTAGTCTCAGGCCCAAAAGAGATGCATATTATTTCAAATGAGTCACTACAGACGATCATTTTTTAACACTGAGAGATCAAAGGTTGGCTTATGCAGTTCATGCATGTATGTATTGAGAATTGAAAGGCCATATATAGAGCAGGAAACAAAGGATTTTTATTTCTCCACTGAAGAAGAAGTATTTATTTTATCTGTATTAATAATAACTACTGAGTAATTTGATGGATTATGCCTTTCTTCTGTTTCTCACAAACCTGAAAATTTGACAAGCCTTTCAAATATTAAGCACAGCTCCATGATTTATTAAATTTTAGTTTAGCAATTAACTTTAGAGAACATGAGATGCAATGTGCAACCCTGTCCATTCTGTGTTGGGTCAGCCAGTGATTACACAAGTGCAACAATAACATCGACCGTGGTTCCCAGCAGCACGTTCAAATGCTTGTCATTACAGACTGGCTTTAATCCAGGTTCAGGAGCCTAACAAAAGGTGACTTTGGATCTCAAAAATTATGGGACAGGCTGCAACAATGGTTATGCTGATCCACCAAATTATCTGGGGCTTGATCCAGCTTGCGGAAATTAATGGCATTTGGGCGCATGTGGGAGTTAGTTGTGGCTGTGAGTTACTGCAGGGCTGTGGGTGTGTTAGAAATTAATGGGATGTTAAAGGGGAGGTTTGTCACATCCTGACTATGGGCCTCTGCAGAAGTTATACCCTGGCAGAACCAGTATTTGGTTATGTAAAATACTGGTGAAATTTTCATAAGTATTTATTTTGCCAAAAATCTTTAATTAACCAGATGCAAAATTTGGGTATACCTAGATGCTACCAGAATGCAGTCACAAGCAATTTGTTTGTTCTTTTATGACAGAATAATCAGACTATGACAGAAATATGACAGAAATAAGTCATCGATCTTTTACGTCTCCCAAAGGAAACCTGTTGGCATCCATCTGTGAAACTCCTGTAGTGTTTGGTAATGTACTTGCCCCAGGCTCCTGCTTTTGCTTCCCTCTCCACCACACTGTGAGCCCCTGCCACTGTCCTTACCGACTGCATAAGAGTGCCGCTCCTGTGTGCACAGCACGGCATGCTGCTGTGCCACTGGGATGCAGCGTGCTCCCGCACCTCCGTACCCATTGCAGAGGAGATGGAGATGAAGCACACTCCGTCCTCCGTAGCCAGCTCCTTCCAGCTGCCAGCCACAAGGGTGGGGAAAGGACTGCAACAGGATGGAGGCTTTCATAGTTTTCCTGCTCCCACGCAACAGACAGGTTATTTAGGGTGTAGTGGAAGGTTCATCTACCTCTCCATCACAGAAGAGGGACTCTGAGGTCCCTTGGGATTTGGGATAGATTTACAGATAGGAAACTCCTCAGCCTGCTGCCTAGTAAGTTGTACCAGGTCTCAGAGCTGCCGAGCTGTACTTCAGCTGGCGTGCTGAAGGTATGACCCCAAAGGTATCTAGAAATTCTAGAAAAGTTATCATTTAAACCTCCGACATATTCACCAGCGAGTTATACCCCAGGAGGAAGTCCTACATCATCTTAAAAATAGGTAAAGATGTCCACACCTAGCTGATTCCAAATATTATATTGACTTCTCCTTTGATAAACATAGTAGCAGGAAATAATTGATGTGTGCAACCCCATCTCCAAACTGGAGTAACACTGACATTATCATATTTGTCCATAGAAAAAATTGTTAAATACTGTTATTTCCCAGGCTGGATAGAGATAACTTCCATTAAAACTTTAACTCCTTTCACACTGGCTTGATTTTTTTTTTCCCATTCCTGCACCAAGATTTCCAGTGTTAGTTGAGTCTGCAGAGAGCCACGGTGCTTGAGGAGGAGAAAGATCACTGGCTTCTGACACAGGTTTTTTCCCACGTGATAGCACAATGACTTTGAAGAAAGAGAATAATAGAAAAAAGGGACCTGAGACTAAAATAAGTATACAAAAGCAAATCTTTATGGATCAGATACTGGATAAAAACTCTGCTAATTTGAAAACCCGAGAAAAAGCCCTGCATAATGACCTTTAATTAGCTTGTATCTTAGACTTATTTTTTGTAAGTGTCATTTTAATTATGTGTGGTAGCATACTTGGCTGTTTTTGCTAAGTTTGGTGTAATGGCTCTTTTGCTCAAAGGAGACAATTTCTGGGGGATAAAAACAAAACAGCCAGGAATGGAACACTCTTGCTACATGGAAGGGGAAAGCACCTTCTATTTAAGAGAAAGTGCGGCAGGCATGATAATCACCCTGTGACTGAAGTCAACTAATATCTTTGCAAATGTGGAATATGCCCCATCTGATGCAATGACAGCCTGAAGCAGGTTTTTTCTAAAGTAAACTGAGAACCTTCTCCTCATTAGCCTACCAGAACCATAAATCTTTCCTTTAGAATTGAAAAATAATGAAAAAATAATGTCTCTATAAATACACTTACAAGGTTTCTTGTTTAAGAAAAATAAGAACACACTGAAAACACAGCTTGCTAAATGGTCTCGGTCTAACCTGGTATCTAATTTCATAAGTAGAAAGGATCAGAAGCCTGAGAAGAATATTCAATACCTCAGGGTAGTTTTAATCCCAAAACCAATTAAAGGCTGATTTATGTCTGAACTGCAGCATCTGAAAGTTCTTTATGTTAGGTAACTCAACTGCTGCAATATCAGGGATAGATAACAGAACACAGCATTAGCATAGCTATCCACCTTCCAGTTCTCCGAGTCAGCTCATCTCCAGCACATTGCTGGAGCTGTGATCTAAGAAAAGGTGCACCAAAGCTCCTTGTTCAAGGATCTGTGCCACATTTCTTGACCTTGCCAATGTGCCCCTTTCACCTCTCCCCAGTACGGTCTCGACAAGGTGTCATGTCTTCCTGCCAGATTCTGCTAGAGCAAACTGGCACAATCCCACTGAGATCCACAGCTGTGTCACTTCACATCCACAGGGAGACCGGTCCAAAGCTTAAGTGTTGCTTCACACAGAGAGAGTGTGATGTTTAACATACATCTGGGTGTCAAAGAAACATAACGGAATGGTCTGGTTTTTAGAAGCTGCATATAGTGATTTCTACAGTTCAGTACAGCAGAGTACGGGCCACTACATGCAGCATTGTTAATAAGTACAGGGCAAAAGAGAGCAGATGCTTACTGAGTTGTGCTCTTGCTGGAATATTTTCTCATTGCAAAAGCCACCATTGCTTTGAAGAGGTACTCCTCATTGGCATCCCAGGCATACTGTAAAGGAAGACAGAAAATAACAAGTTTCAGCACCAGTGCTGGCAGTGCAGAGAGGCAAAACACTCACCAAACCTGAAATGCTATATTGATCAAGAAAATGAATAAATTCTCTGGTTGTGCTACAAAAATAAATTCCTGACCATTATTTAGCGTGCACAAAGGACTTATTCTGATGGCTGTGATAAAGCGCAAAGCATGTTTCGTAAAACTGAATGACTTGAATGTTTCTGAAAGCTAACCAAATGGAACTGTAAAGCTTCTGGTACCAAAGACAAGGTGTATTACTAGAATTCTCCCTACACAGCTGCACCCATGGCCTTGTCTCTTTTGCTGGATAAACCATGTTTAAGCAGCAGGTTTAATTCACTCTCAAAGACCATTTGGCTCTCCCCAGAAATTTAAAAAAGCTAATGTTGAAGGTAGTCTCTGAGAGTTGGATGTCAGGACAGTAGGAAATTAAATGAGATTATGGCCTTATTGCTGCACACCATCCTTGCAAAAAGAAGTCTGACTCGACTATAGTATAAATTACTACCTCACTCGTGAGACAAAAGAAAGAATAAGAAGTGAAAAAACTCCAGAACCTGTTCTCTGTTGTCTTGATGAAAAATCATGCTTCCATAATTTCAGTATTCTGAGATAGCTTCACTAGGTTCCCCTGGGCTTCCATTCACAAATGCAATTCTAATGACCTGTAAGAACTGCAAGAACTGCACCTATTACATTTTTATAACAAGGACTAAGGCATACTGATAGAATTTCCCCTTTCAGCAGATTACAAAGATTAATAGTTCCTTTGAATGATATTAATGGAGGTTAGAGGCAGCTTTCTTCAGTCAATCAGAACACAAATCTAATCTTTAACTTTCAGCATTAAAAAAATCTGCTCTGTAATCATCCAAACCAGAAACCCAATGGTGTGGATAGTTAACCCTGTTGACAACTTGGAACTACTTTTTCATGGGCCTTTTATAGCACATTCAGAAACCACAAATGCACCTCAAAAAGCAGTAAACAGCGCTGAAAATGACAAATTTTAATTCTGGTTTTTAAATTCTGATTCTGGATGCATGGAGCTGCAACCTCTCTGAGGAAAGAAGGAATACAACTTCTGGGCATCAGCCCTCACTTTGCTTTAACATCCTGTGGATTGGGAATGTGAGCAGGGAAGGAGATAGCCATTTAAAGGGCAGAAAGCCATACTGATCACATTTATTATCCCTAGACAAATGATGTGTTGTGACATGGTCTCTCTGTGACACAGTAGGAAAGGGACAACAAAGCTGAGCAACAAACAACTTGAGCATCATTAAAATCCAGATGCAGTGCTGAGGATCTGGGTTCTAATTCACCACTCTTGCCTTGTGAATGAAAGAAGGTGTAAGCATGCTGTGATAATGCATGCCAGTCTGGGAACTTAAACTGGAAAAAAAAAGAAAAAAAGAAAAAAAGGAGACTCTCTGAAAAGAAATTACAAAAGCCTGTATTCTGATCCCACTGCACTGATGAAAACATGACAGCAATGACAGCAACTAGTACTAAAAGAAAAAGAGATAATGTAGTAAAGGAATTAATACAAATGAGAGCCATGACACTATTTATTGTAATTTTAAAGACATCTGCGTTTAAACCATGGGGCACAATCTGCAGCACTATAAGGGAAGATCTTCCTTTTCCTGTGTGTAGTACTACTGACTGAGTCCCTACATGCCATCTGCAGTCTTTGAGAACAGGACCATAATGACAGAAAAAAAAAAAATCATTTGTTATTCAGTGGATTAACCCAGCTGTAGAAATAATTTAATCAGTTGTCTTGAAAATGGATAATGATGAAGCACACTCCATTCCATGCTTACATGGGCACAGATGCAATGCAGCACTACCGAGTATATGTACTCGATATGTTTTAGTGCGGTACATGTATATATACATATTCCCACCCTTTCTCACTATCAAGTATTCAGTTTTTATAAATAATACAGTAGCCTAGAGCTTCTTTAAGTCATAGTAACACAAACGGTATCTCAAAACAAGCCAAATAATTTCTAGTGAGGAGCCCGGCCTCAGCTGAAAGAGGGGGAGGAGACCGGCAGAGAAACCTCAACAGAAATCAGGGGGCTGCTTGAGTGAGGAGAAGATGCTGCAGACAACCTACTGGGCAGAAGGGCAAGAAGCCCCAGGAAAGAGGTGATCAGATTGGAGGTAGAAGAGATGGAGATGGCTGTGGTCTCCATATGAACAAGAACTTCTGTACATGACTGCATGCAGGAATATGCAAAGGTGGGGGTCAGGAAACAAAATAATGAGGAGGAAAAGTACAGCAAGAATATCTTTAATAAACTGTATCAGCTCAGGACAAGTGGGAACGAATTGCCAGAAGTCAATTTCATCAGCTTTCTCTGGTCAGAGGGGTAGGTGCAAAGAAACCTGGATCTTTCTACTACGGGGCTTTACCAGTTCAATCTTTATACTCCAGTCGCAAAGGCCTTGGCTTAGTTGCACTTGCCATCCTTCGTATGTTAAGGAGGAGCAGAATTAGACACAGCTGACTCTGAAAGCCAGTCTTAAGTGCCTGTTAGTGAAAGAGGAGGTTGATGAGATAATGGGCAAAAGATGACGATGCAGATTGCTGTTGGAATGAAATGCGATCCTAGTGCTCTAAGGAAGACAGATTTTAAGTTAGCAGAATGAGACTATAATAACACAAGATTGCCCTGAGCAACCTGACTTGATTTCAGTGTTGTCCTGAGCAGCAGGGGACTATGGACCTTCCAAGGTCCCTTTGCCTCCCAATGCTCTGTTTTAACCACACAGCCATCCAGACTGCAGTGTGGCAACAACATGTGAACACACTTCTGGGTCCCATTTGGTGGAGAGACACCAGGTGCATGTCAGCCTTTTTCCCCTTCATCCTCTACTCTGGGAACAGCCTGAATTGACGAGCCAGAAGGGAAGCGCACCTTCTACTTCACCTGGCTGCAGCCCTGATGTGCCAGCTCTTTGACTCCTACCCTTAAACTGAGTGGTGACACGGAGACTTCTTAGTGCACACCACTTCTGCTCACTCCCTAGTTGTCTTTGGCTCTTTTGAATTAACTTCCTTCCACTCTGCTCACTCCGTGAGTAGGAAAAAACACATGGCTAGCAGGTATTCCAGAAGTTTGAGTGCATACAGTTCACAACATCCACAGAGAGACTCATAAATCACCTTCCTTCCATTTAGGCTTACAGACACTCTGTTTCCTCCCACCGGTTAGCAAACAATATCTCTGTCAAGTACACACATTATTTGCAAATAAAATGATAGCAGCTAAACACTTACTGTACCTTAGCTGCTCTTTCCAGCTCCACTGTGGTAAGAACTATATAAATACACTAAATGGCACTCCTTGCCTCAGAGCACAGCCCACCTTGTGAACAAATTAAAAAATGGTGTCCTGTCTTTATTAGCATCACACAAAGCGGAGGGCATGCGCTAAACCAAGTGGCAAACCACACTAACCTACTTCCTATGCCCCTGAATGTCTGCTGGAGCTTTCCTGCCAGTCCTGGAGCAAAATGCCCACAGTAGGAGCATTTTCTGTTATCACCTAGCTTGAAGTGACTTGGAAATGACAGGATTCAACAGCAAAGCATCATACCCAGATATTCTAAGCTGACTGTGTCCTATTGTGATACAATAGTATTACCCTTTTCACTAAAATAAATAAAATTTATAAGTAAAGTGTCCAAAATTCTTCAATCAAAATGAATTTCAGTTTGAGAGTAGTTTCAGTTTTCAATTTCAGTCATTTGCAGAGCAGATTGCAATGGCTATGAAAAGGAACTATTACCTCTGCACTTAATAAATAGTTCATTATTCATGAGTAATTTTGTATGGCATCATATCACGTTCAGTATGTTGTTCTAAAAGGCTGATCTAGGTTGTCCCATTCTTCAGGCTTTCACGCACTTGTTATATGAACTACTACTGATCTACAGAAAACAGTAGGCTCCTCAGTTATTGCTTTTTTTCTTGTAATGTAAAGTACCTTTAATTATTTGTATCATATCCTTTTTGGATGAAATATTTAAAAAAAAATCACACAAGATCAAACAAAACGCCCTTATTTTACCACAGCTGGAGAATTAAAAAGCACTAAGAAAGAGCATTACTATGAACGGCAATTTTCATTCTTTGCTATTATTTTGAACCAAGTTTAAATCAAAATATTAGAACTTATCATCAAGAGTAGCCTCAATACTGATTTTTACATATTTTCAGCCATATGATTACACCATTTTTAACACATTTTTAAACAAACCAGGCTCTCATCCAAGAGAATTGACCTTAATACAAATTTCTGCAGGCAAATACTTTACCATGTATCTTGAATATTTCTTCCCAATTTGCCTGGTTTATGAGGTTACCAGTGGAAATAGGTCCCTGCTAACATTAGTTTAAATTACCTGATATTTATGGGTAATTTTAGAATGGCTTATACAGTCATAAGCATATTCTCCTATCTCTAGTCTCTTATAACGTGTAACCTACTTCTTGTTGTTTCCCCAGGGCTCCTAACATGAACAGACACTAGACTTCTGGTAGAGGTGACTGCCCAAGACATTTCATATCTGATTTTATGCTGAGCCCTGCAACACACTGCAGACTTGCTGTAAGCATTCAAAACTGCAAAAAGTGCTTGGTCCTGCCATATTTCATAGCGCTTTAGATCAGGAAGGACCATTCGGTCATCTAATGTCCCAGACTCTTATGCATCACAGACCATCATTGCTCACGTCAGTACTTCTACATTAACCCCAAGGACTTGAATTAAGCCGAAGCATTTCAGTCCTCGTGAGACCAGCCTGTGTACCACAGGCAGAGAAGAAAGGCCACTATCCAAAGCCTTACATTATTAGGGAATTGATGAGATACACTTGAATGGTCTCTACAGATCATGCTTGTCTGAGAGCCTGACATAAAGTCCCATTTCATAAAGACCTAACAATCTTTTTCTGCTTCTCTTCCCAGACACACTTGACTTTACAATTAGTATGCTCAAGCAGAAGTGCTTTTCTCAAAATACAGACTCAGATTTATGTAGCACCTCTCATGCATAAAGAGTAACATCTCTACTGTTTTTCCAGGGGGGGGGGAAGATCTTTCACAGAAAATTATGATTTTGAAAAGGGAAACTTTATACTTCTCTTGAAGGATGCCATTTTAAGAATTGGGCTAGTCAAATGTCAAGAAATGGATGCCTGGATGATGACTTGAGCAAGCTATTACAATTAACGCTTGAGAACAAATCGCTTGGGCTGCCTTCAGAAATTCTACAGTACATATTACTTCTGGTTTGGCAGATATTCAGTTAGAAAGAACATGTGAAGATACTTTACTTACTGCATTATCTCCCAAAGCTGTTTTGATACTAAGCCGTACTTTGAAAGCATTCTGTGCATCTGACACAAACAGAAAAAAGCAAACATATATTGGTAGTCAGACAAAATAGGATTTTATATCATTTACTTCTCTAATTATTTTACAAAGCACAGCTTCTACATGTGTTTTAACAGATCACCAGGTTAGGAGAACAGAAGTCACTAGCATGAAAAATGCCACAGCCCTACAGTCTCAGTGAGGTTTACCATGACCTTTTTAAAATGAGATCAACTCTTCCGTACTTAATTTGCAAACTCATAAAAGAAGCGAATGTTCAGCGTTTCAAACTTCAAACTGGAGACAACCAGTCACAATAAAAATCTGAGAAGCTGACAGCTTTGTAGGCATAAACTCATAGCTACATTTACCTGGGGAAGGATGGGAATCAGCTCCAAAACTTACCTGGCTTGCAGAGCTCAGTGCGAGCAATGGCAACTACAGAGACAGCAAGCAGCAAAACCCGTAACATCCCTTCAGCGTGGAAAGGTTGAGGCAAAAAGAAGTGAGTCTACCCTGTAAAGCACTCTTAAACTTTCTGTGACCCAGGATTAAAGCATCAGCAGCACAAGTGAGCAACCAAGTAAAAGGTTTAATAATTAACCCCCGTTATTTTACCTAAAACAGGCACTAGAAACAACTGTCTTCTGTTAGTTATTTACTACTTTTCTCTGTAGTTAAACAAAAAAAAAGAGGCCATAACAACTTTTTACTTTTCCTTCTTCCTTTTCAGAATAATACAGAACTTCACACAGTGCTCCAGGCCAACCTTCCCTCCCACCCCCGGCCCCAGTGCAATATCAGACAAGCACTCAAGATGTCTGAGGGACGCCGCACCAGAGCAACCAGCCACTGCGGTAGCAGCAGGTGAATTTGAAGCTTGGCTGCCACCAGATCCCAAAGGAAGCTGCCATCTGGCTTCCTTGCCACCCTGGGAAACTGGCTGGTCCCACAGAGGGCCCTTGAGGATAAAGGAAGACGGGGCACCCGTTTCATCCCTTCAAAGAAATAAGTGATGAACATAGAAGCCCCAGCGCCAAGAAACAGGTCCATCCAGATTTGCCCCCTGTTTGCCTTTGAACTCGCAGCACTTCTGAAGGGAAGACCCATTGGCCCCAGTGCCGTGTCCCCCATCCTCACCCCGGTCCCACTCCTGCATCCTGGCTCAGCAGCTTGCCTGAGTCTGGCAGAGCAAACACCTCGTTCTACGCAAAAAAAAACCCCATGTCTGAGGCATTGCTTTGCACAAAAACAACAGTTATAGAGGTGGAGCACTACTTTCTTGCTGTTGCAGGGTTGTTACGGTAGCAACTGGGGTAAGAAGAGGTGCAGTAAAAGGACTTCATAGGAAGCATGTTGAATAAACACATATTCTTGTTTTGTAGACGCTGTGTATACATACACACACACACACGTCTGTTAATATTTTAATGATGCACTCTACACTATTAGCCAAATGTTTACCAAGACAAACGCAGAGGAGAAAGCATTCAGGAACTGAAATGCAGCACAAGTACTTGAACAGCCTGTGCAATCTGGGCAGCAAGACACGATTATATTATTCCACTCTGCTGCTGTACTCCCCCCTGTAGCCACTCTGACGAATGGTTAGTTCCTAAACTGAAGATGGCTTCAAAATCACTTTCAGTTGGTCCTTCAGCACAGAAAAGCATGTCTTGAGACTGCAAACACAAAGACCTCCACCAGAACAACTACCAGTGAGAAAATTTTACTTAGTTGTGGGACAAGATTTATAGAAAACAACAACCAGTATTTACTATGTAAGAAAACTTGGATTTTCAGGTAATGGAGAATGTACTGTTTTACTAACTTCATCTTATTTTCAGAAGCCACAGTCAAAGGCCTTGATATCCCTTCTTTGAAAATCATTAAGTCTAGCTGATTCCCAGGCATCTGTTTACTCCTGCTAGGCAACCAGCTCTGAGTACAGAACTATTGGATACACTATCTGCTCAGATGTTCATCCTATGCCTGTGGAAACAAAAAAGTGATGTATCCATTTCTAATGATGGCTTAAAATAACACGCTGTGAGTACACGCACCAAAAGGAAAGCACTAAAATAAGTACAGATGTATGAAAGACTCTCAGTTTTGTGTAAAATTTGTCATTTTAAAGAAACGTTCTAAGAACACAAATGTTATTAGATTCACACTAAATTCATGTGCATTGCTTCAATAATGAGCATTTGAACTTTGTTGTACCTTGGGGTAAAATACCGGAGAGCATAGGAACAGAGCGGAAACGGCAGGCGTTGTCTCCCTGCCACCAGAAGGCAAACGGAACTCAGCGTCGGTACTGGCATCACCACATCTCCCCACTGTAAACCACTGTAAATCAGTTCTTTGCCTCAGCATCACACGGAGCCGGTGTCAAAGTACATCGAAGGCACACGACGCCCAGCAGGAACAGCCTCAGAGGACATGACTGGATTCCCTGATCAGGGCTGCTGACTTCCAGCCAGGATGGCTGATTTCCCCCGACCTGTCTTGCTGGCAAGCAAGCAAGACAAATTATTTTTTCCAGCGGAGACGGGAGGAGGCTAGGAGACAAAGCAGTGTGATAAACACCCCAGCTTGGAGCTCACGGGGAGAGCATCGTGCAGTTGATATATATGTGCACAGCAACTTGGATGCGTGCCAGATGCACCCAGCTGGCTGCCCGTGCGCTTAGCCGGCCGGATGGGCACACGGCGCTGCACGTAAGCAACCCATTGCTCCGCTGCTATAAATCTTGTTCCAAAGCCAGCGTGTTGTTTAAACAAGCCAAGGGGACAAGAAAGCCTAGACCAGCTGTCAGTAGAAAGCTAACTTTTCTTCAAATCAAAGACATTTTTACATACTCTCTTAAAAAGCACCACAACTTTTCAGGTTACAAATGGAACATATTGGCATAATCTAAAAATACAGACACTTTGACACCTCATATCTCAGTAATAAATCTATCTAAATCTTTCTGCCCAGTCTCCCTTCTCCCATTTTGGCCAGGTATGTAGCACGGTTTAAGCACATCCATTTGTCTGTTGCTGATTAATCAGTCAGGCATCAGTTTCCTTGAACAAATGGCTATCTACCTGCATATATGTAAGGTATGTTTTTAATTCAGTACGTCGTGAGGTATTAGATTTTTAAATAGTTCCTCTTTTATAGAAGACTTGGTTTTCCTGACTACCGTTAAGCTACAGGTCACAGCCATGCAGAATCTCAGACATGACCTGCATCCTAGAAATAGCATTGAGCCATTGCAAAGAACTATTTCTCTTCCTGTACTAGATGGGTATGTCTGCAGGGTTGAAAATAACAGTATCTCTATAATATTTTTTCTGTGTTTGTGACCCCCAGAAGTTCATGTATTATCTGTATGTATGTACTTAACAGCATATTGTAATTTGGACTTCCAAACAAATCAAGAGAAGACTGAAATTTCCAGAGAGCATATGACTTGGTAAAACAAACAAAACCTTCCATCTTCTCGATCAGCAGTGTATAAATTTTCTGCTTTTTTCAATGTCTTCGAAATGGAAAATCCCAGGAAAGTAAAAAATTGATAGCAATCATATCAGTTAATTAACAGCTATGGCCAAACTTAACCTCAGTTTTCAAATTTGACAAATTAACAGTTTCAAACTCCAAGGAAGTTAATCTTTAGTCTTAAATAGTTGTGTCCAACTCTTATGAGGAAAGAGTCGATGTGCTTCTGTCAGCATTAGTCACTCATGGAAACGTACCTGGAGAACTGCAGGTCTAATTGTACGCGGTGCCTTGCAGCACCCCGGGAGCAATGGAAACAACAAACATCGCACGTCTGCTGCAGGCTTCAGCAGTCGGTGAGACAAGGATCTACGCCCAGCCTAAGAGTCATTACATGGGAGTTTTTCCAGAAACTGAGGGAACAGGGTGTTGAATGAGGCTCACAAACACTGTCATCATTGTAATGATGCAAAAGTGACTTACATTGTCACAGAGTGCTTTATCAGTGCTCACAGAAGTAGAGAGTGTATGAGAAATCGTTTAGCTCTCCAGACGGCAGCTTTAGGCAGCAGGTGGGAGAAGGGCGCGCTCTCTGGAGCTCACATATATTGCCTTGGAACGTGCACTTTGCGGTGGAAAGCATCCAGGATCGCCCACAACGGGGCTGGCACCGAGAGCAAACAGCACCTGCCAGCGCAGAGGGGAAGGGTTGTGCCGCTGCCCCTAGTCCACAAATGAGTTTACAGGACAATCTGCTGTAAGCCCTGAAGCATCAGTGGAAGACGGTCATTTCTCTTCACAAACCAATGCTTCCTGAACGTCCCCTCATCAACAGGCGTTTTCTGAGTCAACCAAACCCCACCAGTGACTTACTGCCACTTTCCTACATATTCTCCTATGTCTGTTTTCTTCAGCTAGGGAAATGAAAGACGTACGATTCCATGAGGGAAGGCATTGTTCTGCTACTGAAGCATATAGCAAGAATTATGATGAGGACAACAGTTAAATGATCTGTATGTCTATAAAATGCATCTTCCTTTTTCCCCCTCAAGGGACGTGGGCATACAACAGAGTGAACACTTCGTACCTGCTTGTGTCAGTCCACACTAGTAGGAAATGGGAGAGAAATGGAAACCTGAAGAACCACGTGGAAACAAAGTGCAAATGTGTGCTAAACGGAGTACCTGTACCCTTGCTCAGAGTTGGTCTACTGCGCACACACAGTTCTGTGGATAGATCTTACAAGACAGGCAGAGATTTAGAAGGATGCTGGCATGTAACTTCGGCTTGGATGAGAAAAGTTCTTCTGTTCTGTGCTATCCTGTGAAGCATCACCAGTGCACCTGGTATCAGCCTTCGCATGGTGGGGTTCGCATAGTGCCGTACTGTGCAGGTCCTTTTTTTTTTAGGAAACATGGAAGAGTGATTTCCACAAACTTCTTGAAGGCTTCCACAAAAATAAACTCTGCTTGGAAAGACCTGTGGTCTGTAGAGTGTAAGGGCTAACAACTACTGACCAGGACCCTACGCTACTTTGGATATGCAAATGGCTCCAGCCTGGGATGGCCATATTTGTTTCTTTCTGACACTGTATCAATTAAATTGCATGGAATTCTGCACCTGTATTTGAATATCACGCTGCTGTTATGTGTACAAATTAATAAGAATAAACAAAATGGAGAAAAACGCAATTACTGTATTCCTGTTTCAAAGAGGCATGATAGCTTGGTCTAGAATCATGATGGGTATCTGTAATAGCTGATGTATTTTGTGTTTTCTTATTAAGAGAGCCTCCTTTTCACTACTCAAATACAGTTCTTTCCCAAAGTATATTGGGAAAATGCCATAATGTAAATGCAGCATAGTATGAAAGAAATGATTGAATTTCTCAATTCTGACTTACAAATAGTTTAAAGGAAAGCTGCTGTTAGGGCACTTAACCCTGTTAAAAGGAGGATGAAGAGTTATAGTTGTAATTCCTTA